TTATATTATATTATATTATATGTGTGAAAATGCTCTCTAAATCGAAGCAGGAGGAGCTGAAGGAGGCCCTGGAAGCCCTGGCAGAGGAGCTGAAACGAGGCCGCATGAAGCTGCAAGGCTTCCGCTTTTAGCGACTCTCGGATGCCCTGACTACGCTACTGTGCAGGTGAGCTTGCAGAGTGGTCGGATGAGGACTGCACGCGGAAGCGCATCACGAGACTGATGCTTTCCTCTGTGGGGAAGCAGCGGCTAGACTTGGCGCATGAGGACTTCGCTGAAGCGCAGGACTTGATTGACCGCGGCTCGCCTGCAATGCCATTTCCAGTGGATGCAGTCCAGTCGTTGAGCACAAAAATCAGGAATGCATGGAAATGACATGATGGCCATCTTCACAACTATTGCGGCGCGGTCTTGAGCTCTAGCCTGACCGAGGTAGTCCTGTCCTGGGGCCGGTAGGAGAGGCACTTGCCTGGAACTTGGTCCACGGAGCCCAATACCACACGTCATGTGCGAAACCCCAAAGCCTTCTGAGGCAGAAACAGCCGACGAAGCCCTTGAAGAGGCCAGCTGTGTGGTCCAACAGAGCTGTCTAGTGTGACAGCAGCCTTCCATGAAATTGAACCTGCAAGCATAGCTGCAGAACTTCGTTCCAGCTTGTAGTGCTTTCAAGGAAAGAGGCACTTTGAAGTTCCAAGGTAGATTGGTAGGCCGATCGGACAGTCGTAAGCTCAGCGGTCGTAGATAAAAGCTCAGTGGATACGAGACGGCATTGGTCCCTGCCTGCACAGTTCTACGGAACCACAGCCGGCGCTGCAGCTTTCCTTATAATAGCCAGGACCTTGGCGTGCCCGAGAGACTGCCCGGTTGACACCTAAGGCTTCTAGGAAAGAACTCGCCAGATTCCGTTCACAGCCACGGCGAGCACGGCGAGCCTATTGGAGCCTCGCCGAAGCCGGATGCTCTCAAGCTGCAGACTCTGTCCCGAGGCTCAGCTAGTGCTGGTTGGGGCTGCCCTGGCCGCCTGCGCCTCCTGTTTTGGGGGCGACGGAGGCCACGGCCCGATGGCCTGAAAGCAGCTGTCCTGTAATGCGGTGAAGGCAGCAATGCCCCGGTGCCAGTGGACACAGAGACACTGCCGCTTTACACGCCATGTGCTGAGACCCGTTTTGTTTGCAAGTGCCTGGCACAGGAAAGGATTCTATGATATTCTGTGTTGTGTATCCGGCGTGTCTGCCTCGTTACTGACGGGCATGGTTTTCCAGCATGCAGCCTCACGTGAGCCGGTCACGTCTACCGAGCACGAAATCCGAGGTTGGGCGGAACATTCGGTGGGAAATGACTATGATCATTGAGTCTTTGCCCGCCAGAGAAGATAAGAGCTCTCTTGAGCACGCTGTCTCTCGCTGTCTATGTCAATGCAGAGTTTGCAGTGATGCGATCAGAATGCAAAGCTTCTGGCAGGTGGTACCGGGACTTGGATGACCTCTGGAGCAATGTCCTTTCATACTTCGAGAAGCGTGGCATCCTTAGCGAGGACGTCTTTTGCACCTCTGCCCTGCTTGGCAGCATCTCGTGGGTGATGCCACGTACATCGCAGGAGACGTTGGAGTACCTCGATGCGGACCCTTTCGTCCTTTTCGGAGTCGATGACCCGCTCACGCAGCAGGACCGCAGCCAACATGTGTGCGTAAACTGCCATCGATTACCTTCGGTATCCTTCGATGTCAGTGAAGGCTCTTCTGAAACTCGACAAGTTCCCGGCATTGATGTGCGATGGCTGGGACCCACGAAACGCCCGAGAGTTTCCTGAAGGAGCTGTGCCGTGTTCCAAGGAGCTGTGCCGACACAGGATGAATGGGCCTACTACCTGCGTCTGAGGCTTAGCTCTGATTCACACCTTCCGAGAATGGGCAATGCAGAGCTTGTTTCAAGGAATCGAGCCACGTGACACCCAGCTCGTGTGGCTCGTGCGAGTTCCATGCTCAGCCTCTTTCGTCTTTTGAGACGCAGTCTCCAATGCAGATCTTAGAAGCCTCCGGAATCCTCCGGGCACATGTGCACAGCCTTATTTTTCTCGGCATGAGAAGTAGCACAGAAGGGGAGCAGTCAAAGACATGTGACAGTTTTCAATGCCATCAAGGGCTCAGCCCTTGGCCTGCTCTTCATGGCTCCCACAGCGCCGTTTTAGGCAATGCAAGAGACGGAGCTGCCCAAGCCTTGGACGTGCTACAAAGGCTCGCATCGCTCGCGCCTGCACTATGCATCCAGAAGATATGCTTCTGCTTCGGCTCTACACGAAGGCATTGGGAGCATCGTCTGTTACCTTCGGTCTGACAGCGGACAGGCCAGTCAGAGTTGCAGCCAGGTGTTACGAAGTCAAGATACCTTGATGCACACGTGCGCGTATCGTAGGAGGGCCAATGCATTGGGCAACAAGTTCTGCAGATGTAAGCCACTCTTCCGATGCACCGGTATGCTATGGACCGTGGGTACACGTGCCCGTGGCAGTTCGGTGCACACACGCTGAAACCGCACTAAACTCAAGTGACGGGGCTGTCGCCTGATTTGCTGCGATCATGCGGTTGATTCGACATACGCCAGGGCCGCCAGGGGCAGGTTTGGAGTATTGGGAAGGGCGGTCTTTGGATCGCCGGGGTCGTGTTCTCGATTCATGATCATGGTCGTTCCGCCGCCCACTCTACTGTCCACACAGCCCGCAGTAATTCCAAGCGCATCTCCAAGCGCATCTCCGTTTGGATGTCATGGGAAAGGTCACATGGAAGCATCCCTTCTACGACTACTTCCGCCAGCTCCGGGACTTTTGCCGACAGGCATCTCGTGACGAGGCGCGGACAATCGGACAATCGAAGTGCACATGCTGGCAGAAGCCATAACCAGATGGCAAGTCAATTCGGCTGCACTTTACTGGTCGGCTCGGTCAAGGTCAGTGTCTGCATGAGACCTGGCCTGGAAGTCGCCAGGTGATGCAGGTGCGCTGCAATCGCCTCCTTTGGAGCTATGAAGCGACTCGTGTCGAGACCGAGCATGACCAGGACGAGTGGTCTGGTAGTCTCAAATGGGCATACAGTGCGATGCCAGCAGCAGCTGGCGGGTGCATGGGGGCGTAATGGAGGGCTTCGTTGCACATGCCGTGATTGCATTCAGTATTTCTAGAGCACACACACACACTAGCAAGACCGGGTGGCACTGCACGAATCCACAATCACCGCACTGCATCAAGCACGCTAATTAGTTTCGTTGGAAGATGGCCTGGGCACCACCGCGTTTGACAGGAGCCCCTCATATCGCCGCCTTATGTCGCGCGCATGGCCGACATTTTCGGTTTCGATGTGAAGGCGCGCAGCAAGCAGAGAAGATGATCTCCTCGGACAGGGAGATGTCTGTGCCTCTCATGTTAATTGCTGAAGTTGCTTCAAAACTGCCAAGCTCGCTCTGCAGGTACAAGGCTGCGTGGTGCGAAACTGCAAAGCGCAGCTCAAGGCCAACAGTGTTCGTGGAGCAGCTAAGAACATGGTACGAGCACGGAATGTGTCTGTCAGATGTTAGGCTTTCGCGAAAGCGTACCGGACGAAGCAAGACATTGTGCGAGTCTTAGAGGTGTTGTCCCCGAGCTGCAGGGCATACCCACTGCTTTGCAGAGAAGCCTTTCGCAAAGGTTTTAGGCGTCAGCATCTTCTGCAAAAGAAGGTCCACAGTCATGGTTCGGAATCAAGTTTCGACCATGAAGAAGCGAGACTTTTTTTGCAACGCTTCAAGTCAAGGATATTGGTCTGATCCGGGAATGCAATGAGATGCTGCAGCGCGACGTGGCGAAGTGCCCGGGCGTGCTGGGTCAGGGACAGCTCATGCCCCATCTAATCCCGAGATGGGAGTTCTCCTCCTGACACTCAAATCAGACAAACAGGAGGTAGGTAGACAGCTCAACAGGCAGGCAGGTGCAAAGACATGTGCATGCCTGCAGTCCTTTTGGCGATCGTCCGCTGAGCCATTTGGGCTTTAGCTCAGTATGCTCAGTCCCTTGACATCGAGTTTGCCCGGCCTCGCCATGATCGCTTCCAGCCAGCAGTCCATGTCAGCTGCCGAGCAGCAGGAGACGAAGACCTGGTTGACCTCAGTGGCCTTCACCAACGCCACCATCGAAGCTTTCGAGAAGCACGCCATCGGCAAGAACCCAGCTGGCCTACTTGGAAGACACGCACGTGAAGCAGATAACATCTGCATCGGGGACCAGATGGGCATCAAGAAGGCTGCCCAGGAGCATTCAGGAGATTCCAGGAGCTGAAGAAGGAAGAGGCCATGCAGTAGGCTTTGAAACTGAACTCTGAGATGTGTGCATACAAATCCGGATAGGTGTCGGCACAGAGAGATCGGCGACCGAACTGCTTACTTAACTCAGGCCAGCACAAAAGAGCGTGAATGTTCGTCGCACGCATCAGCGCTGTTCAGCTTTCATACGGGCAGTGGAGCCGGAGAGCTTTTTCAGGGACCTTGCACCCATACATAACACTTCTAGGCAGCTTCCAAGCAGCCTAAGACTTAGCTTTCTTCGCCCAGCGCTGGCGTGTTGGCACTGCTGGATGGCCTCACATGGGGCAAATTCATGGAGATCTCAGATAGCGAAACTACTGAAGGAAAGTACGGCATCCCACGCTACGATAGGAATGTCCACCGGCTCCAGGAGTACGTGTAGCAGTGAAGATGCGGGAGCCTCAGGAGACCGGCAGGACAGCAGCGAGATCAAGAAGATTGGGCGCTCGGAGTGCGCTTGATAGAGGGCTTGAAAGAAGGCCTTGACCGAGGCGCTTCGACCCCGACGACAACAAGAGGCCAGAGACTTGTATAAGGCAGGAGCCCGAGAGACTGGGCCCCTGAGCAGGCAAGTGGGAGGGCCGGTTGCGATGTACACCCTTCGCCGGCGCACTTGGTGGACTCGGAGATAAAAGCTTCCCGAGAGATGCTTGCGGAGCAGATCCCCCAACACGCCCGCTTCAGTGACGACCAGGTCTTGATGATCCGGACGGTGATTGGCAAGGACCTTACCGTGGCGAAGGTTTACGAGGAGAAGCGCTGCTTTGGCTTTGGGGACGGGAATGGAAAACCCAATGGAAATGGCAAGGCCCAAGGCAAGGGCGGCCATGGTTGCCAGGCGGTGCAGAATGACGACGAGTACCCGGAGAACTGGGATGAAGCCGACATGGCCTGGGAAAGCCACATCTGTGGCTGCGAGGGCGGCTTTGACTACGAGGCCACCGAGGACGAGGATTACGTGTCCATGTGTCTGCAACCAGGGTTGCTGAAGGCTTGGACGCGCAGAGTATGCAGCGGAGGTGTTACAGATGGGAAGAAAGCAGGCCGCAGGCCAAGGGCCACCATGGATTCAGGAGCCAGCAGTTTGAGGTGCATGGCGAGCTGCGCTCGAGAGTGAATGCCCTGAAGGCCCGGACTACCTGCAGGGAGTGTGGCCAGGCCGGCCACTGGGCTGGAGACAGCTCGTGCCCAAAAGGCGGTGAAAAAGGTCAGGGAAAGCCACGCGGGGCAGGATTCCCTTCCTCGGCTTCTACCGCAGCTTCAAGGGGGAAGAACGCAGGCACGGGCAAAGGAGCCAGCGGCAACAACAAGCCTCGCACTGTTTACTTTGCCGTTGTGGAGAATGAGGTCAACGACGGCTCACCGGCCCCTTCTTGGTGGAGAAGCGACTGCGGCGAGTACCCCATGAACGCGGCTTCTATGTCTTGAATGGCACGAGAGAGAACGGGGAGATCTATGTTCGAGGACTTCGACTTCTCTTGATACACGTGGGTGATCGGTGATCTTCTCTGGTGCGGAGATGAGGAAGTGGAGCGCATCCTTCAGGAGGTGCAACAGACCTGCCGGTTCGGCTCCTTGGACTCCAAGTACTGTGGACGCTGGCTACAACAAATTAGAACAAGATGATGATGGAATACGGGCGAGCTGTCCTGAGCTCATCAGCAGCGTTCGGCCCATCCAGCTAAACAGCCGGAGGCGAGGACGGAGAACAAGCCAGTAACCCCGAACGAGCAAGGACAATTTCGTTCGGTGATCGAGTTGCTCAACTGGCTCGTTCGTATGTTCGCTGCTGACTACGACCTGAGCCAGGCCGGGGACCGCATGGGATACCGCAGCCAGAGCGGAAGAATTCTCATGCTGACCAGCGAGCGCTTCATGCACACGATGGAGGGCATCGCCTACCCGGTCAGCTAGCACGGCACGGTGATTCCGAGAGTGTGCAAGCCCACGCTTCAAGCCGAGACGTTGTCTCTGCAACTGGATGCAATGCAGGCCGACCACATCAGGGCGGTGATCCACGGGTTGTACCAGCCCTTTGGCCGTGTGAACGCCAGAGACTGGATGATCCAAGCCGAGGGCTGCATGAAAGTGGCATGCTGAACTGATCGCACAGTCGCACTTGATGAACCCAGGTAACCCAGCCACCGGAAGCGTGCAAGACAAGTGTTTGGCGATCGACCTCTGTGCCGATCGTGGAGAAACTGTGGAGAAGAAGTCGGTGACCCTTGGGTCACGACAAGCCGCCCGCCAGATGACGCTCGAACGGTCATCTTCTGGACCAGCACGGATAGGATGCTGGCCGATGGTTTGACCAAACGACGCCGTCTCTGTGAACCGGAAGCTTAATCCGGATCAGAAAAGTAATAGGGGTCTGAAACTGAATTCTGACATGTGAGCATACAGATCCGGGCAGGTCAAGCCAGCACAAAACAACGTGGTTGTTCATTGCATGCATCAGCGCTGTTCAGCTTTCATACAGGCCATGCAGGAAGCAAAGAGGGCCAACGAGATTGTGGCCACCTTCGCGAACAAGTTTTGTGGCTGTGGCTTGCCATGTACGTCGTTCCACCAGCACCATCGCATGACGTGGCAGATGTCCGAGGCGGGCATCGTCGAACACAAGGGTCTTGGACTGGGCAAAGGCGTCAAACATAGTCAAACCGAATCGATTTTGCGCAGGTGGCCGACGTGGATCGTCACTTGTCCGGCTGCGATGGCTGCTTGGGCACCGTGACGCTCACAACCACCACCTCCGAGATCTACGCGCTGAACTCGGACCCAAGCAAGGTGGTTATCGACGATGTCAGGAAGCACTGAGAGGCGGCAAAAGCAGCAGGAATCTCTTGAGTTCGCATTTCAACCTCTGCTTTTTTTCAGCACTTATCCTATCCCCCCAAGCACATCGGACCTTCAGCATCATTCATCCTTGCAGAAATCTCCTTTGTTCGCAGAGTGGGTCAGGTCGCCTTGGCATCGGCTTAATTTTCCCACTTTGTCAGCCTCAGGGCCACAATAATCAGAATAGAGCCCGAAGGCAGCTCCGTCATGCACAAGCTCTGCCAAAAGAATCTGGTTCGGGGCTGTTAACACTTGCACGCTGGCAGACTATGTGTTTATCGCGTTTCGTCGCAGTCGCAGTCATCCAAGACTCCTCTGCTCATGCCATTCCATCCATGCATCCGTGCTGCAGACATACACCGCTTCACGAGGTACAGCGAAATGGTGGCCCACTGGTCTGGTGAGGTCAAAGAGGACACTTGTTTTTTGTGCCGTCATCCCCTTTCACAAGCTTCCGCTCTATCAACTGGGCAACGGCAAAAGCCGAGTCAAACGCAGGCAACTCAAACATTTTGGGTGAGGCGGTCCTAGCACTGTAGCACATGGTGGCACCTAAAGGGAATCATGTCAGCAAGATAATTGAGAGTCTTTTGTAGAGAGGCCAGCGTGAATTTCTTGTCATCGGTTTCGGAGCTTTGAGTTTTTGGGCAAGTGTTGGCTACAATTATAGTTTTTTGTTGTAATAAAACCCAATGAGGATGAAAATGATCATTTTAAAAGGTAGCCCCAACAGGGAACCAGGTTTCTTGGTGTGAGTTTTCTGTGAGAAATTTCAGAGCGGCGACTTTCATGTAGTGGGTGTGAGTTGCTCGTGGGAGGTTTCGTGGCAGCCGAAGTGGTGGGGTGGGGCGGGTGCACTCAGTTACGAAGTGGGTGAGGCGGGTTGAGATTGAGTCCAAGCGATTCCAAGGGTATGAACTAAGCATCTTGTGGCCGGGCTTGCTTTGGCATGTGGGTTAGGTTGGGAATGGGAGTCTTTGGTTAAAATCACCATCGATGTGTAGTTTATTGCGGTGCATGGGGAGAGTGTCTGGAAAATATCCCTGATGTTCAGAGCCGTTGGAGGACGTAAAGTTCGACCTCAACAAGCTAGCTGCTGGCGAGCTACATTGTGGCTTCCTCAGCAAGTCTTGAGGCTCAGGAGCAAACTTGAATGCCCTCTGAGGCGTGAACTGCAAGACCACGGCCCTCAGTTTCTGCCGCTGACTTACAAATTCTGAACCATGCTCTTGGCGAACAATCAAGAATTAAGCTGTATGCCTGTATGCCCGCATTCACAAATTTGGGTTTGCTAGTTCTCAGGTTTTCGCTTCGCCAATTACGTTGCTAGCCATCCTAGCAGAGTCTTTGCAGAATTGCTCGATGCTGAACCCCGAGGCTTGGAGTGCAAGGACATCCGTGCATCAGTCAGCGAAGTCAACAGGTCGTCACAAGTAGGTCGCAGTAGGACCGAGATAGATGAGCATGTGCCTTTGATGTGCAACTCAACCAGACCTGTGCAAGGACTACCTGTGCTTGAAGTGCTACGCTGACTTGCATGGGAAAGGTGTGGATCTTGGAAGGGTCCCAAATTTTAACACGGTGTCTAGGCCCCGGCAGTTCTGCTGTTCTGCGAGCTACACAGTCCGATGTCAAGGCTCGCGCAAGGAGCACGCGTCAAGCACTCAGAAAGTTTCAGAAGAAGCCCCTGACACGAAGTGCTGGGAGAGCAACTCTCGTGCAAACAAGATCCGGTTGGGGGTGAGGGCGACTGGCAGGCCCTTCTGCTTGGTGCCCTGCGCCTTGTGCGTCGTGCTTCCAGCCAAGATCCACTGCCGTGCACTCGGATGCGCTCGGTGTTCTGGGTGAGATCAAGCTTGTGGTATCCCATATCGACAGTAAGCAGCTGTGCCACGTCATGTGCACTTCGACAGCTTGGATCCCATTAGCAGTATTTGGTTGCCAAGGTACATTCACGGACAAGTCCTTGTGTGCCGGGCCCAGCGTATTTGCGGAGGAGATGCGCACGCAGATGGGCACGCAGATGGCTTGTGTCTGTCCCTCGTTTTTCAACTGCCTCAATCCATCCTCGATGTTAAGGTCACAAATGCTATGCTATGAAGCATATCAAGATGCTTCCGCTGGACGGCAAAGAGAACCAGCATCTTGGCTGGCAACTTCTTCAGGCAGCTCTCTGGTAGGCAGGGGTGTCACCATCAGGTTCTTCAGAAATTCACCTCTCCCCCAGTCCGGAAGCCTCATTCCAGATTTCAAGACGCCAAGCCCCACGCAGCCCCCCGAGGCACTGCAGGCCCAGACCCTTTGGTTCAACGGATTTTTCCTTCACTTACGGGCACCAGGCCGCGGAGAATAAACTACGTGGAGCAGCCTGGACCTCGGCGATGATTTAATGCCAGGGCAGTCGTCTTGCAGCTCCATGTTCGTACGTTCTGGCCACTGTCTTTCTTGTTCTTGGGGTGCTCGAAGACAGCTACAAGCACCCATCTTTCAGGGCATCTACTGTCAAACGTCTAGGACACACATCTTCTATCTCAAAACCCTGAAACATATGTCTCAGCCAGTGCGCCGTTCAGGTACAACAGGTACGCTGAGTTTGCAAAGGCGGAGACCACGAGTTCGCTCAGCTAGAATAGAATGTAATCAGTGCATGTGCATCACTGGTTGCCCAAAGGGAGCTACAGTAGATTCAGTAGAAGATTCTGGGAGTGCAGAGGACGCAGGCGTGCAAGTCGAAATGCTTCCGTTGCCAGGAACGGGTGAAGAAGATGGCCGTCAAGCCGGAGGACCTTCCAGCACTGGATGACTCAGCCTACGAGTTCCTATCTCAGCATCAAGGGCATATCATGAGCAACGCCACAGCATCGCATGCGGATTTCGAGTTGCCACACACTCCATGCCGAATGAGAGAACGCTTTTGCTCCACAACTTGCAATCACGAGGGCTTGAGGGATCTTGGCCGTGCTACAGCCACAGCATGCAGCTCGAAGGGGAGCATGACCTTTTGAGTGCGAGGAGCACTGTGTTTCGGGCCATGCTTCATTTCATCGTCTTCTTTCCTCGTAGCTCTTCCTCTCGTTCCCGTTTGCAGGGGTTGTTGCACTGTGCAAGTGATGGCCGTGCAAAGGTCGGTTCTCAGCACTGACTGGCACCCCTTCTACGATGCTCGTGGTGTGAGGCAGTCCGAACCATGCCACACTTGCCCAATACCAAGATGCCCATTTGCAGCAGCCTATAGAACCTACACCTGTGCACTCGCTGTAGATCCTGTTCGACACGGCCCGGAGTTAGCGCCATCTGAAGCACAGAAAGTGCAAGCCGACACCAGGATCGACTTGAATTGGCCTGCAGACAGGTACTACCACAACTTTGCCACTGGCGAGCGCATGAGGCAAAGTCCGCGGCGCGTGCCTAACTCTGCAGCTTGGCTCGGCTTAGCCAATATATGAAGTTGACGCAGCACGTATTGTATTTGTGACATATTATAACCGACGACGTGTATCGGTGCTGGTTTCTCGCCGTGCGATGTGCTTGGATGTGCAACTCTCGCCCGACTCTTCTGGTATCATATCACCAAGGACGATGCGGGTGCTGAGGCTACAACGCCTACCGCCAAGGCGACCAACACTCTAAGTGACCATGTAAGGTACCTGGTTGCGGCCTGGGTGTTGCCACAATTACATGGCACAATCCATGCTTCCCAGACCCTCCTATGAGCATGGGTCGCATCGCCAGGAAGTCACCCAGGCTCTTGCGGTTTCGCAGGAGGACGCAGGTGGGCGCCCAAGCCTTCGGGGTGTAAAGTTATGACGTTCGTCTGAATGGCACATGGCGCCTGGCGGTGTGCGGTGTTGCCATGCAGGCGGCATGGCCAGGCCAGAAGGTGCAGGACTTAAACCGTTTCAAAGTGTAAATCACGCGGGAAAGCCCTGCGGAGCTCTCCAACTGGCCACTCAGATCCAGCGTCCAGCAAAGGCTTCCATGGCACCGCCAGGAACTTAGCTGGTGCTGTTTTCCATTTTGAGAGAGCTAAGAGAAAGAAATGTTATGAATTGCTTCTGAGGCGACCTCGCTCAAGAGCACGGGGCCTCTGCCGCTCTCAGGCTTTGACTCACTCAAGCCGGCCTCCGAGAAGTGAAAGCACGCGACCAGTGCCTAGATGACAGCGTCAAGTTCCTCAAAAGGTCGGATGTGCCAGCAGCAGTGCGTGCTGCGGAAGATCCGGCCTCTGCCCTACAAGGGGCTTGCTGAATTTTGCAGAAGTTGCCCAGCAGCTGATGCGAGAGACCTTGCGCGCGCAAGTTTAGAACAGGGAGCACCGCGCCCCTTCCCACCTTCATTGAATCAGTTCGTTGCCTCCGAGGAGCATCGGCTTCTCAGACCGCCGCATCGGCGTCACATGCCGGATGAGGCGGGCGTCGGCAAACAGCTCAAGCAGTGAAGCTGCCTCCCTTTCCGTCCCGCTTTTGCTTTCGTGCAATCTAATTGGATGCATGTTACAATGCTGCAACATGATCTGTGCTGCCTGCAGATCACGGAGCCCCTCTGAACGAGTGCCATTTGCATGGGGTCGAGGCCGTGTAACACGGCTTTTGACAGTCTCACCGCCGGAAAAATCGCTCGATGCCATCGAGGACAAGGAAGGCACAGACTCGGCAGGAGAGCACGTATGTAAGATTATGTAGGCATCCTTGACCAAGCTTCCTTCTCGGCTTACAGTTTCGTGCTGGGCTGGTGTTATGCCGTGTTTCTTTAGGCGGGAGTTCAGAGAGCCTGCAAGACAGGCAGCCCGTATCAGGCACGTTCTGCGGATGGGCTTCGTATGTGGCATTCCGCAGCATCAAAGCGGTTCGAACAGAGCAGCAGTAGGAATTCCTCAGATGTAGCTGTGCACAGGTGGTGCCTTGACATGCCTTGGATGAGCGTGGAGTGGGAGTCTGTGGCCTCTGTCCGAACTCTGGAGACTCCTGAGTTGGGATCTTCCCGACAGCATCTGCCCGGTGCCAGGTGCCCCGGCTCGACGCGATGGCCGGCCGGGCACGCAGTGAGTCGCCGCTCGACTTTGAGGACTTCGCGTCGAGGCCTCCGCTCCGCGCTTTCAATTGTTGGTGAAGATGGCTAAAAACTATATTATTACTATTATTATTATTATTTTTATTTTTATTATGGTTACTATTATTATTATTATTGGTATTCGTATTAGTATCTTCTTCTTCTTTGAGACCTTGCAGCGAGCCAAGATGAGAGATGAGGGTCAGTGAAGCCTGGCGAAGCGCTCTACATCACGTCTTGGGAAGGCCTACGGGCTCGGCACGGTCAGGGGCCCTCTTCAATGCTTTTGGGCTGCATTCCTTGGGTTCTTTTTCCCGACTGTCTGCGGAGACACAAAGCCCTAAACCCTCCGAGCCTCCGAGGTTCAGATGTCGAGGAAGAAAGCGGAGCAGGCCTCTCCAGGCTTAGGCGCTTCCTTGCTGTCATGCAATGTTTGTTGAGGACTCCATCCTCCTCGCCAATCGAATTCGGCTCCTCAGAAATGAAGAGGCCCATACCATCAGCTTGGGCTGCAGTGTCTCTCACGGCCGTGACCCCTGCGCCATCTGCTCAGGCGAAGACTCGCAAGAAGATCGTAGAAACCGAAAAAAAGACCCAGGCCAGCAAGAGCTCCGACACAGTCCATGCAGATGTGCGGTCAAGCAGCGGTTTCGCGCAGTATCAGTATTGCATGGTACTGTGGCGCTTGTAGGGCAAGCTTCGTTCCGAGCTGGATGATGTCGAGTGCTATGGCTTGGACATCTAAGTGATTTCTGACAGGAAATCCTGGAGACCCGGCGGCGCAACGAAAAGCGGCGCCAGGAGAAGGAGGCCTTCGAGGCAGCCACTGGCCAAGTTCTTCCGGCTGCGCGAGAGCCCTTGTAAGGACCCTTAGAGACTTTTACTTCAGTCCTTTCCTATCTTTGTCCATTCTTCACGCGCCTTCAAGCGAAAGAGTAGGCTAGGCCCCGTCGATCGCACAGCCTTTGTAATGCAGCCTTCGCCACCTGCCCGAAGGCGCACAAGGAGGCCCTCGAGTCTGCACTGGCCTCAGCTTAACACAGAGCCGTGATGTCATGACCCAATGCTGTTTTTGGCTCAGGAATTTCGTGCCAAGCAGATGGTGGTGTCTTCTGGCATGGCTTCGACCCCACAAGCTTTTATGTTCCGCGTGACGAAGCAGTCTTCGGTAGTCTCGTCATCCCTGTAATGCCAGGGCATCAATCTGTGTGAGTAGGCCGCTGCAGAGAGGGCATCGGTGGTCGTCCTTGCTGACAGACAAGTCAGCATGTGATCTCAAAGCGCTGTTTGATGATTTTCCAAACGTCGGCCTCCTGAATGTTTGCAAAGTTGAGCCAGCTCACTGATGTGCCGGTTCTGGGCGTGGCAGGATCGGGCTGACCAGCAGCACAAGCTCCAAGACAAGATGAGGACCCCGATGTCAGACATCGTCTCATCTTTCGCTTTGAAATGCTTAGGCAAAACCTCCTCTTGCATGATTTCCCATGGACATGGCCACACACAAATGCAGAGGCAGAGAATGCCGGTGGAGTGCCTGGTCACGAAACTGTATGAGAGCTTCGCAAAGTCGGCAAACTCGAGAGTCCGCGTGGTTGGGTATCCTGTATCCGAAAGCGAAGTCTACCTGCCGGAGCTAAATCGACACCGTCACAGGCTCGGGCTTGCTTGATACGACCCCTGAATGGTGCAAGGATTATACGAGAGCGAAATCAAGGTGCAGGACATGTCATCCGGCAGGAGCGCCAGGCGGCCAGAGCCGGGGCTACAACCAGCAAGGGTTTAGGTGTAGGGTTTAGGGTCGTTTTTTTGGCTCCATGTAGCAGAGCTCGTTTCTTCAGGTAAATCACTCAAAGAAGACACGCAAGGAACGAAAGCGAATCCACACCGAACAACTCAACTGAGTCTCTGACGACACGTGACAACGAAAGAGCTTACCGGGCCGATTTTCGTGTTCAAGGCTGTGGTGTTAAAACCGCCAGATTCGCCAAACGATCCCTCAATCCGCCGGAACTGCCTGGGACAGACAGCACGTACTGTAGCAGTTCATTTCAGTCTTCCGGGAGCGGCCACGGCAGTCCACAACCACTGTAGGGCGCCACGTCAGGCGTATCAGCAAGTCGTGGACTTCGAGCGCCAAGCTGCAGCGGATGAGGCGCGAAAATCATCTTTGACGCAAGAAATACTGTAGCAACCCATGCTCTCTTTGGAAGGGATGTTGTGGCAGCTTCCCCCCTCTGTCGGCTTGAAATGGGGGTTCCGAAAATAGGGGACCCTAATATAGTACCCCAAATAGCAGGATCCTTATTATAAGGACCCAAAATAAGGTACCCTAATTTTCGAAAAGCCCCAAATCTGAATGAGTGCAGCGATGTGATCTCTTCCTGGTGGGCCAGGCGTTCGCTCGCGCCGAGCAGGCAAGTGGCAGTAATTCTGTGTTTGTGTTCCAGTCTCTCTGCCCCTCACTTTTCTTTAAATCTCTCCCTCTCTCTCTCTCTCTGTGGTGCTTCCTGTTCGTTCACAGTTCTTGCACTGTCAGTTCCAGTTGGTGCTTTGCAGTTTCCGTCGGAAGCTCGTGTTGTGTAATTGGCATCGACATTTCCTGGAATGCAGTGTGCATCATCTGTGATGCGGACATAACCACATATTTGCATGCATGTACATATGCGCATGTTTGAGCATGCGCACTTGCATACTCACATGCACACATACATGCATACATGTACATACGTACATACGTGCATGCACACATAGTTGCATGCACGCATGACATGTATACATTCAGATTATACACACATGCACTCATACACCCATGCGTCATACACTCTCATAGATGCATGCTCCTGCTGCTCCTGCTGCTGCTCCTGCTGCTGCTGCTGCTGCTGCTACTGCTGCTGCTACTACTGCTGCTGCCGCTACTTCTACTACCGTACTACCGTACTACCGTTCTGCCGTACTACCGTACCGTACCGTACAGCACCGTACCGTACCGCACCGTACCCCACCGTACCGTAGTCGTCGTTGTCGTCGTAGTAGTAGTAGTAGTAGTACTACTTCTTCTTCTTCTTGTCACGATTGGTCATTGAAGCGGGGCGAGGTCCGTGCAGCGATGTCGCAAGCAGCGAGGACTGATCTCTCCCCTGGCTCCGTCCTGTCTCTCTCTGCTTCTCCCTCCGTCTCACATTCGCTCTCCCGCTCGCCCGCCTTCCGTCTCAGTCCCTCATACAAAGATGCACCGTCTCAGGTCGACTCTTTACATGCCAAAGATGCTGCATGACCGCAAATCATCAGAAGCACCCCCCAAGTTTGACAGCACATGAGACATTCATAGACATTCCGAGGAGTCGGGCGCGGTCTGAGGGGGCGAAGCAGGAGAGACAAGCTAGGGCCAGTAGGCTATTGCGCTTGCACTATCTTGCACTGTTCTGGGCCACAAAGGGCGACTCCTGCGTGAAAGTGAAAGCTGAAGGAGCTTGCCCGAGGGGCCCTGCGCGAGCGCCTCCTGCGAGAGGAGGACGAGCGCCGGCAGCGCCTAGCAGACATCGACAGGCGGGGTTTCATGCTTACGCGAAGTGTTGTTTGTCTGTCTCTGTGTGTGTGTGTGTATGTGTATGTGTGTTGCGTAGTATACGGAGAAAATGCGAGGATGGAGCGCGAGGAGAAGGAGCTCATGGAGAGACTACAGCGGTCGCAGGCGCAACGGTAAGGAAGGTTTCTTACCATCGACCTCGCCAGCACAGTACCGCTGTAGACTCGAAAGCAGCAAGCGTGGAAGGGTATGCCAGAAGCGAGGCAAGAGGGAACCCGCTGGCGATGCTAGCTCACGAGTGCCTGCCTACCAGCACTACCCAGAACCTGGCAGCATAAGCTTTAGTGTGATTGGTCTTCAGCGATCGATAGCCAGTGCAAAGTCTCATGAATCACAGAGCAGTGGTGAACAGTCGCCGCGCTGCGGTTCATCAGCCTATGCCACCAAAGCAGATGGGTTCACCGATCCTCAATCTGATGCTCAACTTTACGGATGCACTTCCAGAAGCAGATCTGGTTTGGTCTTTCAGGGTGTTTCGTGCAACCTACATGTCCCAGGAGCGCCACCGAGCAGCATACATGCAGCTCGAGGAGTCAGCGCGCAAGTTCCACTGCCTCGCCTTGCAATCCCAGTTCTGAGCGAACCGCAGTCCTTCGCAATCCAGTGAGACAGTGAGAGCATCACAGGACGTCCTTCGGCAGTCTGGCAGCGAGACGCCGGGGGCTCACCAAGGATTCCCCCCCAACTCGACGCACATCATCGCAGGATGAGTCCTGCTTGTAACTATATTGGCTTAGATCCGGAACCCCCCCGAGACCCCGAGAAGCTCAGCGAGGCCTCCTAGCCTCGGCGCTGACCCACGCTCTCGCTCACAGGTCCGTTGGTCTTTCACCACTGGGCTCTGTTGCGCCGCTGGAGGCGCGCCCTGGCGATACCTACGGCACCAGATGCGGAGACACCCGCTGCATCTGCCTCCGTGATGGGTATCCTGCGCAGCAGGCCAGCCGCCGGCGACCGGAGCGTGACGTAACATGCGCCAGCCCTGCGCGGATGAGCCCCGATCTGCGAGGGCCTTACAACGTGTCGTTGAGTCAGTGGGCGTGCACCTTCGAGTCGCCTCCAGGCACGCTGAGATCATTTTCGGATCCACTCGAGACTCCACGTCTTCGCGTGGGTCCAGGCCGCATGGGCTGCTCTCAGTTGCCAGTGTTGACACTGCACCCGTTATGCTGTCGTTTCACGGCCTTATATGGTCTTCAGGCGTCCCGAAGTTGCTCCTTCCAGAAGTCTGCCAAGCGGGCCCCCTCCTGAGTAGCAAAATGCGATCTGCAATCGCAGAAACCCAGTGTCAACGTGCAGGCCTGCTCCAGCACGGCCGCCGCTGCCACGTGCTCCTCCGGGTGCAAGGCGAACAAGTTGCTCGCACTTTTGGAATGTCCACTTTTGCTTCCATGGTTGGGAGCAGTGGAAAGCTCTTGAGTTTTTCGTCCTGAATGCCTCGGAAAGGCCCAGCTCCGCATCGCGCCAGGCAGTGCGCGTGTCTGTAGCTCAGCAGTCTCCGTCTTCTCTGTTGGACTCACTTTGTTCAAAAGCCCAGCTTTGAGCTGAGGAACGCTGCTGGAGCCGCAGGGGATGCGGCCGTGCCCCGAGAGAAGTAGAGCAATCCATGATACCAGGGGCTGACCATCATGGCCAGGGAGCAGATGTGAAAGTCTGTTGCCATTCGGGGCGACTGGGCGATTGCAGCGACCAAGCTTTCCTTGCAGGCTAAAGTCATCAATGGGATGATTCGTACACAGAAAGCATCTCGAAAAGCTTAAAGTAGCATATAATCTATTTCGTCCATCGTGCCTTTCAGCATGTAGTGGAAGCCTGGAGGACGCAGCCTGCACGTCATCAGAGCACAACTACTTAATGATATTCATTCAGGATTGCGTGTGGATGCCCCAGCAAGACATTGAAACACCATTCACCTCCCCATCCCGTGACCTGTGCTTCCCCGGATAGGTGGACAAGCTGCGGCAGAAGCACTCGACCAGTGCCATGAGCAATGCCAGCACTGCGCCTGCCTGAGAGACGCAGTGTGCCCGATGTGACGGATCGAGCTTGCGAGCAGTTTCTTAACGCGCGTCTAGTTTGATAGGGGCTGGAAGGAGAGAATGCGAATGCTGGGCGCGTGCATAACAGGAAATCAAGAAGGGATGCAACAGCACTTAAAGATGCAACGCTTCCAAATATCTGCGGCATGAGACCAAGCGGCTGTTCTGTGGTTGTTCGTGAAACATTACCTTTGGAACTTTGGGGCGGTGATCTGCCCGAACAGCGCGGGAAATCCGCCCGCACTTCGAGGAGGCCCATAATTGTACGGTGACCCATAGGACCACCCGACGCTGCGCGTATCTGGCGTGATGGATAATGCTCATTAAGCCAACCCAGTCTCGCCTCCAGGGCCCAGCTCAAAGTGATTTCGACACGGAAAAAGAGCCGCCTGCAGTGGTACCGCAGCTGGCATTTTTTGCAACAAGGAAGGAGTCAGAGCCGAGTTGCCCTGGCGGCTGCTGGCGACACAGCGATGCATTCTTTTGAGCGGCTGCTGTCCTGAGGCAAGTGGTGCAGAAACGGCAGCAAACGGCTGCATGCCCAGTCCAGAGACGAAGTGCGATGCCTGCCTGCAGCGCCATGTACCACTGCGAGGTCCCTGCGAAGGGAGTGGCCAGAGTACGCCATCCTCAGCTGCCCATCAAATCAGGCCGGAGCAGATTGACCATGTCTCCTTGAACATTTCCAACACCATTGCGGTGCATGTGTGTGGCTTTGAGGTACACCACCGTTGATGGCTTGCAGTTGGACATCCCAGCAGAGGATTGTAGAGCCTGACTGTTTATAGCTGTTGCATTGGTTTGTCTATGTTGGGCTCTTGCAGAAAGCTGGCGAACTAGACTAGATCAACCTATAGATGCTTCCTCGCCGCAGGAGGATCTGGACCTTGCAGCCCTTCTCAACGGCAGGCGAGGGCAGTGAGCCGCTTGACGCTGCGCGGCGCATTTGGGCGACTTGGCTGTCCCTTGCTTTGGCGAGGTAAGCGCTGCTTATGCTGCGGTCTGTCGCTCTGCCTGCGCCCAGAAGAGGAGCCAAGACAGCCAAGATATTTTCGGATACTCTTGCGTAGGCCGTGGCCTCGAAATCGATACCGAGCTGCCGAGGTGATCCAGAATACTTTTTGCCTTTGAGTTTCCTGCCCAAACCCCAGCGCAGAATCTCTGGTTCCGACTATTGGCTTCAGCAGAAATGTCCGCACTTTTGTTGGTCAGTGTCCGAAAAGAAGATCAAGTGCAACTCGAGCCTTCGTTTGTTGGCCGAGGCACTAACAACAATCTCTTCATTTCTACGCCCCAAGTGCGCGAATCTTGAGCACCAACTGCTGATTTGCTACATCTTCAGCCTGAATGTTTCGGCAGCTTTCGTTCAAACCTCTGCTTCTTCTGCCAGATGCTAGATGTATTTCGGGCTGTGGAACGTCTTTGAAAGCCTCAGCCGTCCTCGACATCAGTGATGTTAGCACGCTGCATCACGCTGCATGGTGACCGCTGTGATGCACGACTCCACCATGCGCTATAGAGCACGTCCGCTGCCAGGACACGCGAGCACCGATAATGGACGTCTTTGCACGAGACATTGCATTCAAAGACGACATACGATGCGAGCCAGCTATTATTTTGAACCTGGGTCTCGGTTCAGCAAGCCGATTTCACTGCCCAGGCGCAAGCTGCATCGCATGTTGTCAGTTTTCTTCTCTTTGTTGTGTGGCCCCCGCATACACTGACGTGGAGCTTCGCATGTTTCAGCATGCAGAGAGATAAGTCTGTGGCCTTGGTCGACACTTGATCACAGAGAGCATGGTCGGGGTGCTGCTGAGAATATCTGAGCGCGCTCTTGGTGGCCTTCGTGGCAACGTGAACCATGTTTCCTTGGTGTCTAAGTTTTTGTCGAGGTACACGCGGATTCGAGACTCCCAGTGCCATCTTCACGACCTTAAGCGATAACGGCGATAACTGTTTAAATCTACATGTCTCACACGCCCTGGAATACTCGTTTCACCCCGTCGATGCAATTGCATAGTCGGCCCATCTCCGTGAAGCATGGGGGGTGAAGCTGGCAACTACCCAAGACCATCCCAAGACCGCAAACAGCGTAAATCGTAGATAGTAACTCACCATAGCAATAGCAATAACGAACAAAATAATAACAATAATAGAAACAACAATAATAACAATAACAATAACAACATCAACAACAACAACAAAAATAACAATAGCAGTAACAGTAACAATAACAATAGCAATAACAACAACAATAACAATAACAGGAATAATTTACAATAAGAAGAATAATAATGGTAGTAGTAGAGGCAGTAATAGTAGTAATAGTGCGCTCACCCGCCAGGCCCAGCTTCGACTCCCATGGTCTCACGGCCGTGTATGCATAAAACAGGTCCCCTGTGCAGTGTGAGTAGCTGGCAAAGGGGTTTAGGGTTTAGGGGTTTAGGGTTGAGGGGTTTAGGGGTTTAGGGTTTAGGGGTTTAGGGTTAAGGAGTTAGGGTTTAGGGGTTCAGGAAGGTTTCAGGGGTTTGTGGCTTTAGGGTTTAGGGGTCCGGGGCTTGGCGATTTTAGGGTTTAGGGTTCCACTGGAGTGAGGTTGCAACGTTTTTATGGCTCCTGGGGCTCAGGATGTGATGTTGAAAGTCTCCCCCGACATTATGACCTAGGGTCGTTGCTGTACGCAGTACAGACAGAGGCTTGGCATCGGATGTTAGATATCGTGGGATTATGACTTATGAACTGAAAGGTAAAATGCAGCAATGGTTCAATCCTTGAAAATCTGGCGGACGGAAACTATGAAGCAAGGTTCGAGATCAGACCTTTTGAAGACCTTGCGGATAGAAATAACAACCCTTTGATCCGCTTGAAGATTTTCCCGACAGCGATTCGACCCTTTCAGAGACCAGCTACTTACACATCCCCGAGATCTGAGCATGGACTTGTGCCGGCAAAACAAGGCGGAACCCGGGTTGCTAAACAGAATCTGAAGTGCTGAAGCATTCGGAGTGCTCATCTTCGGCCTCTGCAGACGGCTTTTGAGCTTCGGGTGTTGAGCAACTCCAGTGGTGTTGCACCTCTTGCACTGGCTTACGTCGCAGTTCAAGAGGAAGCTCTCCCCATAGCACTTAGCATGCATTGGACAGGACCAAGCACGGTAGCTTCATGGTACAGTTTGGGATTGGCCAGCCTTTGCTTGTGTACCTGCGGGTTGCGCAGCGATGAAGCGCCGGCGGATTTGATATCCCAAGGCCAGTATCAACTTGGCGCAGCATGGAATGTGCAGGCCGAGTCTTACTTTTCGCATGGCTTAGCACACGCATGCAGCCAGGCAGCAAGCTGATGCAAGGCAGTGTTGCTTACACAGCGAGTCTTGCCGCTTTCCGAGTGACAACTTGCCAACTAGCCGTGGATCGCAAGTGCCCTGAAAGTCATGAGGAGCCAGTATCTGCAGTGACTTTAAAGCTCTGACTGAGGCATGTGTCCAAGGGGCCAGCAGAGACCCAAAAATTGCCGCTCCTTTGCAATCTGAGGTGTCAATATCAACCAGTGATGCTCGCACTTGGCCCAAGCCTTGGACATCATCTTCGAATTGTCGTAACCATGGATCAACATGTCGAGGATTCGTTCAGCGGGTGACCTGTTTTCAGCTTTCAGGCCCGCCAGAACCTGGAACATACTCGAAGGCCAGCTTGCTAGCTCTGCAAGTTGAGTCTTTGTGCGGTTGTTTGTGCGTGCTGCAGTCCTCAGAAATCCTCACACCATGAACGGAGGGTACGATAATTTTAACACAACTGTAATGGCATGCGCCATCGTGCCGAGAGCCCTGTATGAAAGTGAAGTACCAGCTCTCAGCAAAAGGAGAAGTAAGAGACCTCGGTGCAGGTGGCCCGCCCAATCGAATTTGCAATCGGGATCCCAAAGCATGGGTGGCTTGATTGTCGAATATTGATGCTATTCGAGGGGTGGTGTGTTTAACGACCCAAGATGACAAAATACAAGACGCGATCATGTCGTGGGTGATGCCTGTCCGTACCCTGTAATTGTCAGATCGGTGCAGAAGTCCTTCGAGCTGCGACAAATGTGTTTCCTGCGTTTTTGAGACAGAGCATGTTGAAGGGCCTCACGAGCCGAAATGCACAAGGAGGGTGACGTGCATCTCTCAAACGGCAGAGTGTCCGAAGGTTCTGAAGTCCTGCATCCTAGATGGCGGCGATCGTGGAATGTTCATGCGCCGCGATATGAAACGGTAACATATTGCACAATGACTGCAATCTTGGGGAAATTGTTGCTGGCCCCTTGCGGACCTCTCGAAGGTCACACAGGTCATGCTTCGGAGTTGTGTACGCGGCATGACTGCATAGGGCCAGAACCGACAGTCAAGAGTCAGGAGTTAAGATGAGCGTTCTTGGCTCGGCACCCGCCTTACGGTTGATACAAGAACCTTGTACCTTGTCAAGTACCGTTGTATGCCGCAGAGCATAGGCAAATAACATACACTATAATATATTGTTTGTAACTAAAACTCGTAGTATAATACAGCATAATGTAATGTAACTCGCTTAAGTGGCAGCCTTGAGATCAGGCGGCGGGTGCGCCTCCGCTTCACGACCTGCCGCCACCTCTCGTCGAATTGCACTTCGGCGGCAAGAATGTAGCATCACAGACAAATACATTCCAATCGCCATCGAGGATTTGCGTGCTTTGCAGAATCGTTGATAGGCCACCAGAGAACTACAGTGACCTTCTCACCGGCAAAGTGAAGTGCTGGTTCGAGGCAGCGGCATTGATTGCAGCCTTCGTCAAGCTAGTTTGAGCAGCTCACCTGTGGTGTTTTCGCCTGCTTGGTTGTGGGGGTCGGGATACGAACGGCAGGAACGAGGTTCAAGAACTGCGAACTACAGACTGTTTGTTGGGAAGAAACGACAGACAGCACACAAAGCAATACATAGCACGATTCTGCAAAGCCCACAGCACAGAGACACCAACAAGCGGAATACTCCATCGAGGAAATTCTTTCAAGGAGGATTCAAGAGCTTCCTAGTTGCACGACAAAGCGCTTCAAGTATGCATTTTGAGCCACAGTCTTCATGTTTATGTATTGCAGGAACATGCAGCTTTGTGACTTGTCCGGCGGGCTTTGTGCATCGCGATTTGGTGGTTCTCATCAAAACAAACGTGTCGGATCTGCTGGAAGGATTGGGAAGGTAGCAATAATGCAGTTTGTAGTTGCCCGCCCTTCTTTCGGATTTTTCTTTCGGAGCTCTACTCACTGTATGGACACAAATATATTGCGCATGTGCGCACACGTGTGTGTGTGTGTGTGGGGCGAGTATGCATGTGTGTCTGTGTGTATATCTATGCGTGTGTGTGTATATATATATATATGTATACATATTCGATGTTTAACTGCTGCCCATTCGCAAATGCTAAGCAAATTTGTAGGAGTCCTTGTGTTGCTCATTGAAAGCATCTTTAACTTTGCCCCAGTTACATCCATGTACTGAACCATAAACGTTGAACGCACCCTTGCAGGGTTGAGGATTTATGGTCTAGGGTTGGGGAATGGGGAATGGGCGCTTGAGATTGAAGTGCGCAAGCCTCCAATTGCTTTCATTCCAGAGTGGTCTTTGTGTGTTGCGTGCGCAGTGTGTGGCGGCTAGGGACAGCCGCGGTGCAGTGACAGGATCGCGCTTTCGGCTTCATCACGCCGGAAGGAGGTGCAGAGGATGCGAGGGCACTCGGGCTCCTGGACAGCAGTTTTTTTGCTGAACGTGGGACTGAGCCCTGTTCTCAGGTTTTCGTGCACAAATCTGCCAGGATCTCAGAAGATGCTATCGAGGCTCCGCATGTAGGGTTTTTGGCAGCTTCTCAGGTGCTGAAAGATGGGCAAAGTCTCATCGTTGATAGTCCATGCCTCAATGAGAGTCAGAGCAGACGCCTGGACAAGTGACGCACAGCCGGCCATTGCATCCTCCGCCTGTGTTGCTAGCTTTTGCTGCAGTACACCGAGTTGCTTACATGGTCAGACTGAGCATCGCAGGTTTCGTAATGTTTGACCTCATCTATGATCCGGACCGGCGACGCTTTCAGGTCAGCCGTTCCTTGATTTGCAGCTGATGAGTGGGGCAAATGGACGAACGAAGAGCGCTTGGCGGTTGACAGGCCACGCGCTGCTTCGGGGCGACTCTGCCGCCAGACGAGGTTTGCCCGTCAGAGCATGTTTGCAGCAGTAGGTACGACAAGATAGAACAATGGTTTAGGGTGCAGCAGTCGGACTACCAAACTGGCTGTAGGCTGCTATCGTGCGAACACATTAATTTCCCCTGCGGTGTATCACATCCACTGCCAGGTAAGTCGGGCACCACGCAAGGGGCCTGACCCCCGGATTCTGATGCAGCGCATTTGCTAGATGCCCCATCTGAATTCGCGCACCTCCTCCCAATCTACACGGGAATTCCCGCGACCAAGATGCAATTGAAAGTCCGATGGACCAGGCCTTACAGCTTGGCAGATCCGTGGGACGAGCTGTACATGCCCCTGCCTCAGTCCTTTGAGTGCTTCTTGCTCGCAGCTTGAACGCAGATTGCGGGAGTCTCAGGACAAGCGGCGCGGAGCATCTCCGAATGCCGCAAGGCTGCCGGTTGGCAGTTCAGCAGTCTTTCAGACAGATTCGAGGGACCATGGGCATCATTTGTGTGCATTATCGAATTAATGAATTAGTTTTTCTCAATTTTTATGAAAATGTGGTGAAGCTGATAAATCTGAAGGCCAGGTGTCGTTCCAGCGACGGTACAGAGTGAGTTCGAGCTAGCAGAAGCTGAGCCGTGCCTCTTTCCACAGTGTCGCCGGCTAGGCTTTGCTCCGGCGCCGAGGGCAGCTACTTGCATGTGGAATGCAGCCCCAGGCCAGTATAATTCGCTCCTTGCGAACGTCAGGTGAGTTCGACCGCTCTTAAAAAGCCACGACCACAAACTTGTGTAAACTTGCATATCTTCGCGGTAGACTGGGTGATCGCTCGGTTCCTGTAGCAGAATGTTGCTTGCCGTGATTGAGCATGCCATCCTGTTCTGCACCAGGCGAAACCCCTGCTCCGCGAGCCAAAGAGGCCATGCGCAAAATAATGCAAAATAATTGACACAGATCCTAGTGAAAACTTGGCAGACGGCGCTGCTTGACTGTGGTACCTTTGAGTGCGTGCGGCAAACGTGCATACACTCACGAAGAATACTTGGAACATATAACAACGTGTGAAAGGCAGCCTTTGGATATCAACGAGGCATAAGCACAACTTAATCACACATTTCCTCGGCACCTTTGACAATCCAACACGTCTGCACGCGTGCAGCGTGGAGTAAGAAAAGCTCCGAGGGTGGCCATGATGGGCTTCTGACTACGGGAGCAGTGTCAGCAGAGCAACATAGAGCAACGACGGCAGAAGCAAGCATACAGAAACCTTGTGTGGTTCACGACTAAACCCAGATGGAAGTGGCCAGTGTGCTTGGGCTCTTTCGCAGCGAAATTTTCTCACGTTTCTACGCAATCCGAGACAGCGTTTGCGTCGCTGAGACTGAGACAACCTGGGAAGGCATCGAAGGCCCAATCAGCACCGGCAGCTGAAGCTGCAGAGGAGAAGGCTGGGCAGTGTAGATATCTCCAGTCGGAAGCTTGAGGAAAGCTCTCCACATGTGTCGCGACTGCAAGTCGGGAGCTGCAGCTGGGAGCTGAGAGCACCATGCGCTCTGAGGTGGAGCAGAGAGAAGCAAAAGCAACTTCGATCTACGACTTCTTCCAGGAGGGATAAGACGGACAGGTTCCACACGGGAGGTACTGCTTTGAAAAATCATGCCTACGACCCATGGCCAGTGCCATCAGCTACATCAGCGTTACTCTTATCCGCCCAAGTATGTAGTCAGGAACAGCCCGAAGAAAGCTGGCCGCAGTTAAGATAAGACATGGCATACTTGCAGGATGACGAGGAGACACTGTGAGTCAACAGCTTCGTCGAAGACTGCGGCTGCCAAACTTGTCGTGAGCCAAAGGGGTTTGGCTGTTTTGATGATGTTGGATCGTGTGCCGGGTGCCTTTGCACCGTGCTCGTGGATGCTGTATGCCGTCCCAGCTGCAAGCTGCGGGATTGTGTCGCTAGCCAAGGCAGCAAAGGCAGAGTTTCTGGCAGCTGGGATCAGTCGGAACCAACGCAGCAGCCGGGACTTCAGAAGTGTATGAGTGATCGACCCAGACACTGTGTGCTGCAGCAGTGCTGCTGCGAGGTCGTCTGATGGAGGGGCGAGCTTGCTCACACGGACTGCTTCTTTCCGTGCTTGTCGTTTTCTTGACTTGAAGCATTCATCCATGGGCTGCCATGCCCAACACATCCTCCCAAAGTTTACCGTGTTAGTTGCATATACTGGATCAAGTTCGACCGTACTTCACAGCAGTCCTCGTGCAGTGTGCAGTATCGTTCTTGCAATGTTTGGTGGCAGGTGAAGTCGCCGTTAGTCAGCCTGCAATTCACCAGTGACCCGGAAAGAGGAGCTGCTGCCGGAAGCTCGCTGCAAAGGCCCCGCACCTTGTGAATGCTGATCATGAGACCGGTGCTAGAGATGTGAGAGTTGCAGGAAGCATGCGCTCACGCTGGTCTGACTGTGTGATGCTACAGGCAGCACCACATTTTTACCTCCACAGACGACGTAAGACACACCTCCCGTCGGAACTGGAGATGAAGTCAGCTACCGTAGGTTGCGCTGGGATCACAAGCCTTCGAAAATGGCCGCTGGTGAGTCTGCTGCCAGCCTGACATCTCATGCAGATTCGCACCAA